TTTGTTCTTCAAATGTATATTAGTACTAAAGTACTATGATATTTTAAAAATATTGAAACATATATATTAAAAGGTATTTTAAACTTGAGCCTAAATCGATCATTTTATAACAGACTATTCAAACAAAATGAAACTTACCAATTGGATATTGATCTAGATCAAATGTTCTAAAGATAATAAAAAATTTTAATTTTTTTTTTCTAATTTTTAAAAAATAGCTACCTTTTTAAAATTGCAAGACATGTTTTGTTATAGTCACAAAATAAAATTTCCAAGATTTTGCTATCAAAATTACAAACCAAATCAAATTTGACACATCCTCTATAAAATAATGAAACTTTATAATTTTTTAAAAATTAATTCAAGATTGTAAAAGTATAAATAATATAATATAAAACAATCTATGTATATGTAAATAAGTTTATTATTATGTATGCAAAGAAAAAAATTGTTATGTACATATTGCTCTCTGATAGAATGGTATGAAATGAGTTATTAGTGACACATGCTGAACAAACGTAGTTATATATATTAGGGTGTTATACGGGTGAAAAAAAAAAGTGTTTTAGTACCAAAATGCATACTTTTTTAGATATCCAAACTTACCTAAATATATAATTTAATCTTTGTAGGTCAACCATAACTCGTAAGTTGTGTTGTAGCCATTTGGTTTATTATTATTATATATATATATATATATATATATATATATATATATATATATATATATATATATATATATATATATATATATATATATATACACTATACAAAAACTTCTATTTGTATTTTAAAATGTAAATTTTGTTAATTGTAAAAATATGCAAAAAAATCGTAAAAAATTTTTTTTAAAAATTAGATCTAGTTTCACTAATTTGAGAATTACTCTAATACAGATGCAGTTAAAAGTTTAATTTTATTTTGCTTTTTATAACTATATCGCTAACAAATTAAAGTTGATTTGTCCAGTGAAAACAGAGTACGTTTATGCAAAAACTATTTTTTAATTATTAATTGTGTATAAATTTAATTGACTTTGATGCTACTGCCTTTAAAATTGAATTCAAATAAAAGTTTAATCATTAATTAATAAATTAAAACAATATAACAAAACAAACTTCCAAAATGTTACAGCATAACTAAGCATATACTTACATTAAAGTTATCAAAACGTTTGACCGATATTGAGATCTTCATTATTATTTTATCATATAATAAAAAATATCAAATATGAAACAATATGCTTACCTAACAGTTTTAATCTTCAAAAAATCTACTTTTTTTTTGAGCACACTAAGACAAATTAAATCACTTTAAAAGTTAATTGACACTTTGTTGAAAATATAATGATTTTGAACCAACCCATTAGCTGTTTAATTTCAGCATTTGAAACCTTTTTTAAAAGATAATAAAGCATAATGGAGGATGTAATCGTCAAATATATTGATAAAAACTTAACATAAATTTTTAATTAAATTAAAAGTGCAATAATTAAAATTGATTTTGACCTTCTATTACATCATATAATTTGGTTTTATGTAAACCAATCTTTTTACCAGAACCTTTTAAGTTGAACTGTGTCAACAAGGTATTTAAATATAATCTATAAAACATATCAAATAAATAGTAAAATTTATTTAAAATATTAAACAGTTTTCCATTATTGATTTCCAAAATTACTAAACCTAAAAAAAATTTACTACATAAAAGTACAAAAATGATAGCCATACAAAAAAATAATACCAAAACCTACTCATGACCAATCTTGTCAGTTGTTTTAAATCTAGAAAACTGAGTTGTTTTAGTTACCTCTCTAAAGCTAAAAAAATTTTCCCGAAATCACAAAAGTTTGGAGAAGAATCTCATGTTTTTTTAATATAGAGCCTTAAAATAAAAACATGAAAATTTTTTTATATATGTTGTCTACAGGATGTATACTATAGGAAGCACATTTATATGTATTCTACAAGCTAATTTTGAAGGAAAACAAATTTTTTATCAAAATATAAATAACTAATACAATTTTCAAAAGTAGAAATTTTAGATAAAAACTATCAGGTATCAATGACAGGGTTAGGATCAGGGTTAGGTTTAGAACAGTGTATCCAAACAAAAATTTGATTATTCCATTCAAGTTGATTATGAAGGTAAAAAGAGGTTAGGCAAAACAAAAATTAACGATAAAAGAATATTCAACTTTAATAAAGAAAAAGTTTAGATGCAAAATTCAAAACACACATAATGTACCAGAATATGATGTTGATTGTTCCTCTAAATTTTGAGGTAAAAAAATGTCCGACTAAATTAAAAACATTAAGCAATATTTTCGATTGAATAAAATAAAATTTTGAAAAAAACTTAAAATTATTAGACAAAGTCTACACACAAAACAGGTTTGATTGTTTGAAAGAAGTAAAACTAGGAGATAAATTAAAGTCAAAGGATCTCTTTAATGGATTTTTTTTTGAGGCAAAGAAAAATCAGGTAACTCTAAAATATAATAATTTTATTATTTATTTATTATATAGTATTTAAAGAAGTATATCAGTTTATAATATAGGTTTCATATCAAAAAAAAAAGAAAAAGAAATAGTAAACATGAATAAAATTATATAATGTAAATACACAATTAGCATTACTTTTTAATTTAAAGGCACTTTTGGAAATACAAATATTTGTTACATCTTCCTCCTCTGCTGCAGTGATGTAATAATATTCTCTCAGCTACTCCATATTATCTAAAAAAATAAAAGCTTTTATAAATCCATTATAAACATCTGATATTTACGCATTTTTTTACATCATTTATATTGCTAGTATATAATGTATGCTTGCGTGTGAATATTTCATACCACTCTCAAATTTAATTTTAATAAGTTTATATTTGTTCCATGTTTCATTCACATCCATTTCTTCTTTAACAGCTCTTCGATAAGATACACTTGCAGGCCAGAATAATATTTTTTTTTCTGTATCCACTTTCTAGGCACAACATTCTCTGTTTCCTCATAGTTCTCTATCCAAAAAGCTCTTGCCCGAATCATGGTGTAAAAATTACATTAGGGTTTAAACTAAAATAACTTTAAAACCTAAAATATAGTCTTTACAATAAGTTGGAATAACAGTAATAAGTTTCAATAACAAAAAGATTGTTGTCATTTAATTTATAATTCAACAAAAAGAAATAAAAAAAACCATTAGGTTAGTAACTATGGTGATAATGATGAGGAAGAGCGTTATAAAGAGTGAAAATTGTAAACACAGAATGGTTTTGTATATTAATGTTTTGAATTTATTACAAAATAGTGCTTTCTAAATCGAATGTCCTCATTTAAGAGAATCATCATTGCAAAATGCAATGTTAGAAAATGATTGTCAATTTCTTTGCTCGGTGTTGATGGCTTGTTATTAATAGAAACAACTCTATGTTCTTCGCATAATCCTTTAACTTAGCATCGTTTACATGAGTAATATGCTGTATGACCTTGTATACATTTAAGAAAACAGCGAGAAGATGAATCACATATGATTGCTTTTAGTGTAACTTTAAATTTGTTATTGTTATAGTAAAAACCTTCATTAGTTAACAATAAAAATTATTTAATAAAATCATAAAGAAAATCATCTAAGCAGTTTAATTTAGCATCTCCACAGAAAAGTGCACTAATGAAAATATAGTTCTCTATTAGACCAAGTATTGGCCGTAGTTGAAGATGAGAAGATTTAAAAAGAGATAGTCCATCAACATTAATAGTAATAGATAACTCGGTACTTTGAAAAGCGTTTTTAGTATTCAAAAAATAATTTAAGTTGTAGTAAAATATGCGTAAGTTCTACCACGCTTCTTATCTAATTTATCAACTTTGAAGGGTTTTAAAAGGGTTCTTGCATTATTTGGCAACTCTAAATGACCATATTTTCTAAGATTCATTAAAAGTTCGTTTAAAAGACTTTGAGAAATTTTGCTTTTCGTTGACCACATTTCCAAATCCTCTGATAATGTTTCTATTGTCAATAATAGTGATACATTATAACAATCAAAGTTCTCATAAACAAAACTGGTTTAACTGGCTACTCTGCATTCTTTAAAATCATTATTTAGAGCTTCAAAAGGTACCAAAGATACATAAGATATTTTAGGCTCAGCATAAAAAGCATTAAATTCAGGATTCAAATCAGGTGTACATATATTATTAATTTAATTTTCTTCATCTTCAAGTTTCATAATGAATTTAAATATACTTTTATTTAAGCGACGACGCTTCGTTCGATTTTGAGTTTCCATAATGATACCTTAATAAATCTTTTTGCTGTAATAATGGTTTAGAAAATTATTATTGGCTGATGGTTCCGAGAATGTACCAAAATAAATTTAGTTTTATATATATATATATATATATATATATATATATATATATATATATATATATATATATATATATATATATATATATATATATATATATATTCTAATTAAGATTCTTTACAGAAATCTACAAAACTTTAACAAACTAAAAACAAACTTAAGACTCCTGTCAACAACAAAACTACAATAAAATTATTCAAAGAAAAATTGCAATAGCACGTTCTGGAATCACTTTCGCTGAGTCAGCAAACCCGTTAAACCAATAAGATTTATTGGCTCGCTGACATAGCGCATTTCCAGAAATTCTTGATCTTTCTTTAAAATTCCTTCGCGCCATTCTCCTCCTCTTTGATGTGCCGTAGGCTCATCGATCCATGATTTATATCGCTTATTGATGGCTTCTCAATTTCATTACTAATTTTGCATTCCAATAAATATACGCGAGATATAGGTCGCTTACCTTCACCGTTTCCCACTTTCATTTTTACAACTCTATTATAACCATCAGCGCCGGGATACGCCTCTAAAACTCTTCCTAATGGCTATTTTCCTCAAGTTGTATCCGGTGATATAACTAAAACGACATTTCCTATATGAATATCACTTTTTTCAAGAAACCATTATTTCCTAGAGTTTAAGGTGGGAAGCCACTCCCGTAACCATCTCTTCCAAAAGTGACGGTAAGTTCTTGGATTCTGCGCCAACGTTTTTTTATGCTAAAATCCTCAGTATCAACGTTTTCCGGTGCAAATTCGCCACCTTCTCGACCATGTAAGAAAGGATTCGGTGTTAACGGAATATCATTGTCAGGATTGCAAACCTGGTATTTTAAAGGTCTTGAGTTGATCAATGATTCTGCACCTGTAAATGCTGTCATCAGTTCTTCATCATTAATATCGGCATTACCCAGAATATTGTATATAACTTTCTTTGCTGACTTGATCATCGTTTCATGGACTCCTCCAAAATGTGGTCCGATTGGAGTATTAAAATGCCATTTAACTCCTTTATTGGCTGTTGATTGTTTAATTTTTCTATATTTAAACTAGCTACAAGCTCTTGAAGATCTTTATTGGCTCCAGCAAAGTTAGTATTATTATCCGAAATCGTTTCCTTTGGAAGGCCACGCCGATTAACCATTCTATAAAACGCGTTTAAAAAACGAATCTGTATCCAATCCAAATGCTATTTCCAAATGCATAGCTCGTGATGTAAGACAAGTAAACAAACACAAATAACGTTTAGTTTTTCTCATACCTCTTCCTTGCACTGTTATAAATGGACCACAAAAATCAACAGCTGTTCTTGAAAATGCATGCAAAGGCATTTTTAATATAATCTTTAGTAATGGTGCCATAATCTGATTCCCGGCTTTAGCTTTTCGCCTTTTGCAATGCTGGCATTGATTTTCCTACTCACGTATTTCTTCTCTTGCTTTTAATATCCAATACCAACTAGATAGTATTGCCAAGGTCTGATTTGTTCCACATACATGTTTTCCCTCTTCGTGATACTTCTTCACTATAAATTTCGTTATCCAGCTTTTTATTGGGAGAATAATAGGGAATCTGGCATCGTAGGGCAAATATTCTGCATATTTTAAACGCCCATCATTTCGTAATACACCAACCCCATTAATTTTTGGTCTTAAGCATAGTATTTTACTAGTTGTTAGAAAGGTTTTTTGGCTGATAGCGCTTTGTACTCTTCTTCGAAATTCTCTTTTTGAGCAAATTTTATTAATTCATTTTCTACATCAGTAATCTCTTCTGGCAATAGTTCTCCTGCGAATCTGTTTGCTTTTGATTACGTATAGTTAATGATAAAACAACGTACCCATGCAAGCACTCTTGTAAGTCGAATCCAACTTGAAAATCTCTTGGGTTGCAGTCTTCAGATGGTATCTTTTACAAGCACTAACAAGGTCGAATTTGCTTTAGACTTTTTTTTTTTTACATCATTGTTTACAAGTTTTCTTTCCGGCTATTTTTTTTGATCAGCCAAAAAAATCTGATCTTTTCCACCATCTAATTTGTTCTTTTAGTTCTGATACAGCGAGACCTCTTGTTATGTCATCAGCAGGGTTTTCCTTGTTGGTACGTATCTCCACTGATTTAGGTTTGTTGCTGTATGAATTTCTCCGATTCCATTAGGCACAAAAAGTTTCAATTTTCTACTCTGATTATGTATCCACCATATCGAATTCATTCTGTCTGTCCAAAATGTCATCTCTTTAATATCAATTTTATAAGTTGCTGCGATACTGTAACTTAATCTCAATCCTAAAACTGCACTAAGTAGTTCTAATCGTAGGATGCTTAATGCGGATAAAAGCGTCACTCTCGATTTGGCTGAAATTATACAGTTAATAAAGGTTATTAATGCAATTATAAGGTTAATAAGGTTAATAAAAACTTCGCCATTTTTATATTGACATTTTGCATAAGTTACAGCTCCATATGCGAATTCGGAAGCATCTGTAAATGTGTGAAGTGAAAGTATCTCTAAACCTTGATTTTGTTGTTGAATGCGTCTTGGTATTTTATGTCTTGTAAATCCTTTAACTCTTGAAACCATTTAGATGCTAGTTGAAATTGTTTAGGATCCAACAATTCATACCAACTAATCCCACTGGTCCACATCAGGTGTAAGAGTGCTTTTGCTCTCATTGTGTAGTGTGATAAAAGTCGAAACGAAAATCAAATAGTGTTGCTATATTTCTTAAAAAGTTTCTTTTGTTTTTCACATTAGTGAATACAAAATTTCCATCGGGTGCTTGATACTTAAATGCAAAAACGTCTTTATTTGATAATCACATAATTCCTAAGGTTTTGATTGACGGCAATTCACTTTTGTCCAAGTCTACTTCTTGAGATCTGTCTTTAATTGATATTTCTTTCATTAATATTTCGGAATTGGATAACCATTTTCGTGCATGCATTCCAGTCAATACTATCATCCATGTATGTCGATTTAAGAATTGTTTCTGCAGCTAAAGGATACTTTTCAATGTGTTTCTTTGCATTTTCTTGTGATACAAACATTGCTAAAAAAGGCGATGAATTGATACCAAACACTACTCTTTGGAATTCGAAAATGTCTGATTTAGATCTCTCCATTAAATTCTTTGAAACTTTCTATCGTCCGGTGAAACAAATATTTGTAGATACACTTCTGCTATATCGCAAATCACTGCCACAGGATATCGTCGAAATCATAGTAACACTCGAAACAAGTCTTGTAATAGCTTTGGACATTGAAGAATTTTATCGTTAACAGATAATCCGTTATGCTTTGCTGATCCATCAAATAACGGTCGTGTTTTTTTAGTCTGATGGTTTATCCGAATAACAAGAAAATGAGGTAAATACCAACTATCACTATTAACTTCTATTTTTTCTACCTTTCGAATATATCCTCTTTTCTGATATTGTTTTGTTATTGTTTTATAACGTTTGAATAGCTTATACTAATATCTGTATTTTTTATAACTTTCGAAAGACGTCTTACAAAGAAGCGAAATATTTTTACGACCGAAAAGTTTTAAAAGACGTACATAAGATAAGTTCGATAGCCAAAAAAAAGGTTTTTAAGAATACTTCAAGTAGACGTCTTTAAAAACGTTTAAATGGTCTTGTCTTTAAAATTAATGACAAGACCATTTAAAGACCCAATTAAGACGGTCTTAAAGACGTCTTGTTTTTGCTGGGTGCAATCAGGGGCGGACTGGCCAAATTATTATGATGTGGAAAAATATTTTTAACGGCCCTGTAGGCCAACGAAAAATGAGGAAAAGCAGCAAAGATAACAGACGTAAATTACAAAGTTATGCTTAATTTATAAATATATACATTAATGAATAAATATCGAACAGAAAAAATTTATTAGAATACATATACGTAAAAACAAAGTACTTAACAATAAAAAAATATATAATACTGTAAAGCAAGGATAATTAACAATTATAAAATACAAACACAAATTACAACATTAATTTCTCAAACAATAAATTGCTTTTTTTTGCAACAAGATTAATAACGTCGTCAGAATCAATACTGTTTAATAAGTCTTTTTCCACTGCCATCAGCATAAATGCATCTAAATTTTCTTGAGACATGGTTGATCTAAGTCTATTTTTTATATATTTTAAAATAGAAAAGCTTCGTTCACAGGACACTTGAGTCACAGACAAAGTTAATAAATACTTATAAGCTTGTCCAAGTGTAGCGTATGTTCCGCTTAACATATTGTAGCGTTGTAAAATATTATAACAACAAATTGGACAATTTTTACAAGCTCCGCAATGAGAGGGCGAAATAGTTTTGTCATTATCATCGTCGTTGTCATCATCATCACTATCATTAATTACATTATCTTCTGAGACTTTTCTAAATGAGTCGTTTACATTTTCTTTCAAAAGATTCCAATTTTTTTTAAAATTATTTAATTCTTCAATAAGATTTTGTTTTGTTGCAATTGGGTTAAACTTTATTAAAACACTGCTTAATTTTTCGAAAGCGTTACTGGGAGTAGGTTCCGTAAAATTTTTTGGATCCAGACATCCTATGTCATAATAAAATGACTGATTTTTTGAAAAACGATTTTCCATGCTTTGAACAGCCATGTCAATAGCAAAATTATACACATTCACTTCAAAATTCTTCAACGCATTCGAAGTAGTTTCATCCAAAGCTTTTTCTCCGGGCATTATTTTTTTCTGACGTCGCCTAATTTCTGGTAATTTAGATTCCAGCATAACATCGCATTCCATTTCATCTAAATTATTATTGGCATAATTTACAAATTCATCCGAAACTTCATTAATTACACAGAAATTTCTTGATATTTCTTTTAGAGATTGAATTGCACAGGAAATCATATTGTAAGCTTTAATAAAATCTAAACCTTTCTCTTGTAAATAGTTGGAAATTGGCGTTGTAATTTCGAAAATTTTTAAAAATAATTTAGCAGTTAATATAGTTTCATATTTTGTTAGAGAATCTATAAAATATTTAGCCTTTTGGCGAATTTCTGCTTTAAAATTAGGTTTTAAAGAAATTTCATTTAACGTCAGTATTAATTCCACAAATAATCCATCTTTGGGGTTGTTATAGTTACCAAATATTTTTTTAAGGATAGCATCTTTGGCCCACCATCGTGTTTCTCCAATTATATTCAATTTCTTTCTTTTATTATCTTTATTAAAATAATTCCACATATTCATTCGGATGTATGATTCTCTAATAAAAACAGCAATTAAATTTAACAAATTAAATAATGTAGCAACCGTTATGGAAGATTGAGTAATGTCAGATATAACTAAATTTAAAATATGTGCATAACACCATACGTGCACATTTTCAGCATTTGACTTTAACATGTGAGCAGAAAAACCCTGATATTTGCCTTGCATATTACTTGCACCGTCCGTAGAATTACCTATACATTTTGTTATATCGATATTGTTAATTTCTAAAAGTTCTTTTACAACGTTGTAAAATGATTCACCAGTCGATGAATCCATATTAATGGTGGATAAAAGTCTTTCATTAATATTATTATTATTAATATACCTCACAACAACCACACACTGGTCTTGCACACTTACGTCTTGTGTAGTGTCTATTTGGATACTGTACATTCCAGAGTCATTAATTTGTTGTGAAATTTTATTTTTTATTAATTGAGAAATTGCTTCAATTACGTAATTTACAGTAGTTTTGGATAAAAAACTAATTAAGTTACCCCTTCCTTGTCTTTTTCCACATTCATGAATTTTTTTACTTTTTTCTATACAGTTTCGTAAATGATTTTTCAGTGTATCGTCATATTTGCTTAATAAAATAATGATTTCTATAAACGTGCCATGATCTACGTTATCGTCATCAAATGTATAGAGGCTCTCGTTTCTCTTTCCTCTATAGCTTAAACCTCTTTTGCCTATTAATTTTATTACATTTATTACTCTGGTTAGCACATTTCTATTGAACATGATATTTTCTTTTCGTAATGATCGAAATTGTGTTGTTATGTTTAAAGTATTTTTTGAGCGCATAAAATGATTCATAACATTTTCATCGTGAAATTTACTTGTTTCATGTCTTTCAATGTACTGATGAACATAGTCCCAATTGGAAAAACCTTTAGTAAAAATATTTTCGTTTGACCCACCGTACGCAAGACAAATTGAACAATATAATTTGTTATTATCTTCGCAAAAGGATAGCCATTGGCGATTTTGCTGATCGTGTTTACGAAAATATATTTTATTGTTAAATGGAACGTTTTGAACCGGTTGTTTCGGATGATAATTAAAAAATTCTTCAATATTATTGTTGTGAGGTTTTCTAAAAAAAGCATTATTTGTATTTTCTTTCTCTTCATTTGTTTTTTCCTTTTCTTTATTTTGTTGTACATGATCAATTTCTATTTTTTCCAGTTCAGGATGAATTAAAGAACTGGTAGAGGCGGTTGAAGAAGGCATGTCTTCATGTATTTTAAACATTTTATCAATCGTGTGACATGTTCGCGCCACGGACTCTAATTCGCGTTTTCGTCGTAAACGAAGTTTTTCCGTCCCTCCCAAAACTTTCTTTTTTTCATTTTTATCCATTATATGTAATACTGTTATTAATAATAAAAAATAAGGAAATTAAAATAGTTCTAGTAATAATAATTATATAAATTTAATTTAACTTACTATTTTTAAAAAACAGAAAGCAGAATAAAAAATGAAGAATACGAAGTAATTCAACACATACAAACTATAATATCATACACCAATTCAAATAACGTTAAAATGCAACTGAACTAAAATATGTAATATTTGCGTTTGCATTTTCAAAGGCACAAGGATAGACGGCTAGAAACGGAGCTCTGTGGAGACAGATAACCCGGGTTTATTATTAAAGAATATAAACATTAATGAATATAAAAAATAATTTATTGCGTCTGGCTACACTTTTATCGTAACATTAACAAATTGAATAATGTTAAATAGGCAAAATTAATGTAGTATATAACCGTTAGTAATAAGTGAAAAAAAAATTATTTTTTTATATATTTTATTGAATTTTACATTTTTATGAGATTATGAAAACGGCCCATGTGGAATAGTCCACATCTTCCACATGGCCAGTCCGCCCCTGGATGCAATTGTATGTTAACGTTGTTCAAATTATCTTCATTATTTTAATACTTATTCTTTAAATGATATTCTAAAAGGTATATTTTATAAAAGACTTGATATTTTAAAAAAAGTTTAAAACTAAAACTTATCAATATCATATAAAAAGTTAGTATTTTAATTATATAGTTAATTATACGTTTTTAGTTCTTAAAACTTATTTAAATATAATTATTATACAATGTTTCGTAAGTTTTTTTCCATTAAACAATGTTACTTTTTCACAAGATACCCAAGAAGCAAAAATTATTAGAATAAAAGAAAATTTTTGTACAAAAGTAGCATTTAATGCAGAAGAAAAAAATAAGCTGCATAAGCTAATAGCTAAATAAGCTAAATTATAGTGTTTATTCTCAGTCAACTGGAAGATCAACTGAGAATAAACACTATAAGACTGGAAGGAATACCTGAAAGTAAATCTGAAAGTTGGAAACAATTTGAAGAAAAGGTTCTAAGTATTTTAAAAAAGAAACTAAATGTAAGTGGCGTAGTTATTGAAAGAGCATATAGGACCGCAAAAACTGGAAAAAATAAACCTTGATCGATCGTAATAAATTTACAAAGATAAAGTTAACTTAGTAAAGAACTCAAATCGATCGATCGTAATATAACTATAAAGATAAAGTTAACTTATTAATGAATTCAAAAAGGTTAAAAGGCGCAAGAGTATTCATAAATGAGGACAACTCTTTGTTTACCCTAACCATAAGGAAAATTCTCTTAAAAGAAATGCGAACTCACAGGAATAACGGTAAATATTCTGTTGTTATTTATGTTAAATTAGTAGTTAAAGATTTTAAAAAATCACATAAAAATGCTTAAAGTTTATTTTACTTTTGTATTTTTGTTTTAAATAATATTTCTAGTTATTTTTAAAATGGCGGAAGCCAACAATATTAATGTTTTCGACTTAACAAGAAGAAAAAACACACTAAACCTTATTAATGATAATAATAAAAACATTAACTTTATTGACGAAACTTTAGTAGAAACTGCTTACTAAAATGTTCACGACGTTAAAATGTTCTTAATTCTTCATCATCTTACTTCTCAGTAGGACATTTAAATATGAAAAGCATTAATAAAAACTTTGAAAATTAAAAATGATGTTAAATAATAAAAGTAATAAGTTTAATATTATCTGTCTGACAGAAACTTGGTGTCATGAGAGACAATCGGTTCTAACTTTCAATCATCAGAATATAAACCCATTAATCAACCGAGAGAAATCGGTTTTTGCGGGGGAGGGGGGGTTGAATCTATTTTTGTCCAAAACCCATTGACTTTTAAGCATGTAGATAGCCTAAAAGTAAATGACGTTGGTTGTGAGTCATTTACTATTAAAATAATTAATAAAAAAAATAAAAATACCATTAAAGTAACAGCATTTTATTGACCGCTAAATGGTAATTACAATCAATTTGAAAACAACTTAAACTACTTTTTACCAAAATTCGTAGAAAAAACACGTTTATTTATTGGGTGATTTTAGTTTGAATTTTTTTAATAATAAAACAGATAAACTCGTTGTGCGTTTTATAAATATACTTTTCCAATCCTGCATTTTCTTCATGATTTATAAGCCAACACGCGTGACAAAAACAACTTCATCCATTATTGATAATATTATTACTGAAAATTATACAAAGGCTAAAATGTAAAGTGGTATTATTAAGACAGATATCACAGACCATTTTCCAGTTTTTCTGATTATAAGTTCTGACACGCCGAAAAACAAAAAACAAAAAAAACTGTTTATGTAAGGAAAATAAATAACAAATTAATCGCCAAGTTTCGCGATCTCCTACAAGAAGTAAACTGGGAACTATTGACCGATTGCAACAATGTAAATAATGGTTACGATTATTTTATTTGCATGTTCTCTAAGCAATACAAAAAGGCCTTTCTAAAATTAAAAAGAATTATTAATTATAAAAAGAAACAAAAACTGTACCAAATATTTTTAAAACATAAAGAATTACAAAAAATATAAAAATTCCTTTAAAAAAATAAAAAAAGAACCAAAAATAAAATTATTACTCTTCATTGCAAAATAAAAAAATTAGAAATACAAAAGAAACAAGTAATGTAATTAAAGAAATAACAGGAGTGGGGCGTGTAAAAACTGATAATTTGCCAAACAGATTGCAAAGAGATAATAATAAAGGAGATGCTTTTAAAAATAATAAATGCAGAAATATTTAATGACTTTTTTAAAAATATAAGGAAAAAACTAGCTAGTGAAATTCCTGAGGGGAAAAAATCATTCAAATTTTTTTTGAAAAAATCAGATTCCTTCATGGATGAATCGGAGCTTTTAGTTGATGAACTTTGGATAGGGATTAGTATGCTAAAAACGTGCAGGACTGGATAAAATTAACCCTGATATTGTAAAAGCAGTCAGATATTATAGAGAAAACTCTTTTTTTAATTTTTCTCTAAAAGACGACATTTTTTCTGACTAATTAAAATTAGAAAAAATAATTCCAATATACAAAGGCGGCAATGACGATTAAATCTAACTATAGACCAATTACCAAACTGTCATGTTTTTCTAAAATACTAAAGCGTATTACATAACAGACTGTACAATTATCTTGAAAAAAATAACATACTTTATCAAAAAACAGTTTGGTTTTCGCAAAAACCATTCCAGGGAACATGCAATAATTGATCTTGCGAATCAAGTTTTGATTGGCTTTGAAAACAATAGTTACACTCTCGGAAATTTTCTAGATCTATCTTAAGCATTTGATACTCTCAACCTCAAAAATCTTATCTATAAATTACGTAATTATGGAGTAGTTTACTTTTTTAAAGTGGCTGCTATTTTGTTAAAAAATCGTCAACAAGGAGTACCATATAATTTAACATGCACACAATTTAAATCATTGAATTGCGGTGTTCCACGTTCAAGGATCGATACTTAAACCTTTACTGTTTTTAATTTATATAAACGATATTTAATTGTCCTCAAAAGTACTTAAATAGATTATTTTTGCTAATGGCACTAATTTAAAAAGATTCAAAATAAAAAAATTATTTTCAATATGTAAATATAGAACTAATATATCTTAATGAGTGGTTCATAGCAAATAAACTTTCATTGAATACTGATAAAACTAAATATGTTTTGTTTACTGAATCGTCTAAATCTAAAAATCTTCTTAAACTACCAGAATTAACAACCTAAAATATTAAAATGAAAAGAGTTTTGAATAAAAATAAAAAAAATGTTGTTGGTGCTGGTCTATGTTACGCATTGTGACTGGTGTGGCAAAACTGCTTGTAAATTTTTGTATGATGAATGTGTTGATCAAAATTTGTTTGCATGTGATATTTGGAATATTTGTGGTTGCCTGGATACAGCTTAATTTTCAAATAGGGGACGATTATTACTTTCAGCTGCCACAGAACTTTAACCCTAATGGTGCTCAATTTAAACAGAATAAAGTTAATTCTAAAAAACATTATAGGCTGCACCAGGGTGGGATAATCAGATATTCGGCGTGAATGAGAAAAATTTTAAGATCAAGGAAGCGGCTCGTATAGCCGAATCTATTATTACTGGAATTACTGGTGCGGTCAATCCTAGAACGGTTGTTAACGCTGTTTAAAATGTAAATCCTATTGCTGGTCTTGCTAAGAAAACTGTTCCTTATATGCATTTGCCTAATGTAAGGAAAATACTTAAGATTATTTATTCATCCAAGAGGAAGAAACGGTTGGTCGCAGCGTGGCTGTCACGTAATTAACGGCGGAGCAACCCCCCAATCACGAAGTGAGCTCATCACCAGATTTCTTTATATAAAGAGGTTTTGATTGCAGAAAGGGTTATGATGATGAATTCTGTGTTTAGTAAAATATATATTGGTATTGTGATTGCACTAAAGATACCGTTCAGAATGTTTATTATTTTCCTGTTGATTTGCCCAATTTATAGACAAATGTAGATCAGTATTGGATGACCTCTGGTGGTATATATTACGTTAATAAATCTATTGAGTGTGAAGTTATAGATGTTTGCGTGGAAAACCAGTTAAAGACTGAACAGAATGCTTCTGTACCTTTGGAAATATCTAATATAGGTATACGCTTTTTTGATATTGAAGGCGATCAAATGATTTCAAATGTAATGTATTCATTAGCTAGTTCTGATGATTACATTAAGATTTTGAATCTCAAGAATACATCAGCTGATAAAAAACCCTCTGTGTTTCCTATTATTAAGTTATTGGAAAAATCTTTGTTTTTTAATAATAAAGACGGGAAGCCTGTTCAGCCTGACTCGATTTACAAATTATAGTGAGTACAAAGGTTATTTACAAAATTGTATGGAATAACGATATTGGTCCTAGAAAACCAATGAAATTATTATTAAACGATTCTTATCAGACTAGAAGTATTAAGTTTACTGATACATCGTT